ATCCGGGAAAGTATTAGTAACAGGTGGTTATACTAATTCGAATTCTTTGTCGAGTTGCGAAGTGTATGATCCTCCATCGAATACATGGACTCCAGTCGCCAGCATGACATCAGCACGTTATTACCACACTGCAACTTTATTATCATCCGGGAAAGTATTAGTAACAGGTAGTCATAGTTCGAATTCTTTGTCGAGTTGCGAAGTGTATGATCCTCCATCGAATACATGGAGTCCAGTCGCCAGTATGTCATCAGCACGTCGTCACCACACTGCAACTTTATTATCATCCGGGAAAGTATTAGTAGCAGGTGGTCATAGTTCGAATTCTTTGTCGAGTTGCGAAGTGTATGATCCTCCATCGAATAGATGGACTCCAGTCGCCAGCATGTCATCAGCACGTCGGGACCACACTGCAACTTTATTATCATCCGGGAAACTATTAGTAACAGGTAGTAGTGGTCCTTTGTCGAGTTGCGAAGTGTACGATTGGTAGAACTGTCAGAGCACAAAAGTAGATCACTTCGTTATTGGAAATTTTTATTTGTATTTTGATATTTACGACTTGGGCAAGTAGCGCGACACTTCAGTGATCAAGATTTATAGTCTGATTCTGACCAAATGGTTTTTGCCATTTTGTTGCCATTGACAGTGTAAAAGTGACTCACTTTGACGAATTGACCTAGACGGATGGTACTGTATGTTTTAAAACAAATCGCGTACTCAAAAACATTTGCTGTCTAAATTGCTTGAAAATAATTCGTCTTTATTATCAAAAACAAATGCGAACATTTACCTCTGAATGAGCGCTTCAAAACTTGATGTAATAAATAACGTGAATCGCATCGATTCACTAAGTCTATTGCCTGTAAGTCGAATGCATGTACTGTCGGGATTACTATTCATCCTGTTGTAACTCGATCTTGTTGCTCCAAAATTGATGGATATTTTTCGCGATGAGAACGTCCATATTTTTCCATCTTACGAGGGAACGTTCTCAGGTGTCGGATTCCGATTTCCTTCGTTCATATGCCGATCGGTAGGTCATATGGAGATATGAAAAAGCCTAAAAGGATTTAATGGAAGCGCAATTTGCTTCCTTCATAAGTTATACGCGTTTTTCTAATTCTCCCAGCGGAAAATCCAAGAAATTCAAAAATTCATAACTCCGTCAAATTTTTGAGTATCCGCTTGAAACTTTTACACAAGATATCTACCCTAGTCTAGTATTTACGCTGAAAGTTTCAGCCTTCAAACATGTTTCATTTCAGAGATATGGAATGTTTCGTGTATCAAGGAATAACTGTCAGTATTACCTCATCGCTTCGAGAGTAATTTGGGCTTATATTTATTTATGTTCAGCTTTTGAGAACTTTTCTGAATCACTGGCGCTCACTGTAATGTCTGTCATCCTTCGATCCCAGGAGAAGTCTCACGTCAGAACTGCTGGAAAGAAGTTTTTCATATATGAACATCAACCTTTTATTGCCACATGAACTATGTACAAACTTTAAAGTCTGCAAAATGAAAATCAACT